ACACGAATGCGAAAGAATGATATGTCACTTTAAAATCAGCATAACGTTACGAGGCGTGCATGCGTAGTACACAATAAACACACATAGAAATGTAATGCGCACTTACGTATCTAGATAGTATGCAAGTATACTGTTTATATTCACGTAACGACGGCACCACTAACGTTTGCAATACCAGCACCAGCAGGATAGGCATGTAAACTATGCTGTAGTGTTATTACAATCATGTTTGCGCCTGGCATTTGTGTTCGTTGTTCAATCAAGTCACGTTATACCAAATTTGGCGTATGTGAAGCTAGCGAAACGGCCACGAACGCGCTATGAGCATAGCATGTAGTCATATTTACATGACGCGCATATGATGATCATCGTATTTGGACGTGTCATTTATCTTAGCCGTTCATTCATGTCACGTAATACCAACTTCTGTATATGTGAAGCTAGTGAAATGGCATGCTATGAGCGTAACACGTTGTCATGTTTTACATGACAAGCATGTCAACATTGTCATGTTAGGACATGTTATTTACTTTCACCGTCTATTCACGTGACTTGACAGAAAATTTGATATACATGAAGCTAGAAAACTAGCCACGAGCGCACTATGAGCGTAGCATGTAGTCATGTCTTACACGGTCACCTTCCCTCCGCATGCTTCGCATAACGTCGATACCTAGGCACGTGGGATCTGCCGAATTTTTTTTCGTGAATTTGACGTTGGGGTTGTTTCTAGTAGGTCCATGACAATTTTCTGGAACGGCTGGCAAGGTTGCTTAATTGGCTGCGAAATTCCAGCTTGCTTAGTTGGCGGTGACTACTTTAGGTGACAGTCTCGACAGGTTTTAGCGTAGTGGTTATGTCGGCTGTAAGGTGGGGTCAGTAGTTGTTTTCCTGTATCCTCGCTAGCGTGCGGAGATATCTATGGTGTCCAACCATTAGGTTGTCATGCAGAGCATCCAGAACTTCTGGACGTAACAACGAAGGTACTACAATGCGTCAGTTGGGCAATGCAGCGAGAAGTTCTTGATGAGAATGCCATTAGGCGAAAAAAAAAACGATGCCACTCCTCGCTTGAATACCTTTGCGAAAATAGCAACCTTGCCCTCGAAGTATTTTACGAGGTCCTTGATTTCAGGGTCGGCTCGCTGTCGTTCTGTGAAATCACCGACGCTTTAAGTTCCCAAGACGCTGTAGCCATCCTCGTTGTTCTGCGGTGGTAGGTCATGGAGGTGCGGGACGGGCGTCGGCGTGAGAGTGTCTTCATCCCTACTGGTGAATGACTTCGACTTTGAATTCTTGATGTCGCAGAATTCCCCGTGTGAGGTGAACTGAACGGTGCTTGAAGTTAGCTAGCGAACAGAGGGTGTAGTAGTCGCTCACAATTCGAAACGCCTGCCGTAGAAGTAGGGGCAAAACTTGGAGGAAGCCCAGATAATTGCAAGACACTCTTTTTTTGTTACAGAATAGTTCACTTCTCCTTCAGGTAGTGACCAGCTCGCATAACTGATGACCCTTTCAAGTCCGTCCATCCTCTGAGCCAGGACCACTCCAAGCCTCACATATCTTGCGTCGGTGTGAATTCTTATGCACAAGTATCGGCATTGACTGCAGGCGTAGTTTTAGTTTCGAAATCTTCCTTCTCATGTGGCTTTTTTCCAATTGAACTTGACGTTGATCTTTGTATGGTTAGTGAGTTTCTCGGCGATGCGGGCAAAAGTTTCGACGAAACGCCCTGCAATAGGCGCACAGGCCAAGAAATCAAAGCACAACCTTCTTGTTGGTGGATGGCGGGAATGCAGCAATGACCGTTGTCTTCTGCAGGACGGGAGCTCTTGAGGTCCACCAATGAAAAGTATTTCGCGTTGTGAAGTTGAGCAAGCGTGTCGTCTATTCGGGGAAGAGGATATATGTCCTTCTACATGATCTTGTTGAGGCACCGATAGTCATCACAGAAGCGTAGTGTTTCATTTTTTTGTTCACCAACACCAAGGCAGCACAGAACGTTAACACAATGTTGGGGATAGATTGGCAGTTCCTGGCCCTAGAATGGCCCAGGCTTGACAACTTACCGGCAATAATGGCTGTGCCAATCTCATGGAACGGCGATGTTTGATCAGCCTTCAGATTTTCAGTCAATATCGGCTGTGCCAGCGTATTAGAACGGCCACATTAGTCCGAGTTGTACAAGCAGCAGCCAATGTGGGCGAAGCCATGTCATTAGGCCAGCATTATTGGACCGTCGTTTGAACGTTATTGCCGGCGCCGGCTAAAGAGTCAAGTTCGTTATTGAACTGGTAGGAGCCAATTTCTGTGTCTGCTGGTTTTTGGCGCTGTTCTGATCCCACTTCACGCGTCGATTTTTCAAGTTTGAGAGAGTAATAGCACATGAGAACTATATTTTTGTCATTAAATCATGCATAACTAGTTCGAATGCGTGATTCTTGATTGAAGTTGCGCAAAGTAGACAATTTTACTGAGAGAAATTTATCGAGTTTGTCGCATGTCAGATGTCCAATGCGGTGCTTTCCCAGGTGAAAATCGTCCAGATCTGTACGATATGAAGCAAGCGCGGATACCACTGCCGTACGCGACGCACTTCGACGTGCCCGTTGCGCTTTGGCGTTCGTTTTCTCGCATCAAGTCGGTAATGCCACGCCAAGCGCTTCGGACTTCGCAAATATCGGACGCAAATCGTATCGTATCGTGTGTCCTGCTATGCTATCGCCGCGACCGATTTGGTACTTTTGCGTTCACCGAGTGCTGTAGCAGTTAACCGCAAGCAGTCACTTGACATGTGGAAACTGGGGGTTATCAGTTGCGTTACGGTGATTGAATCGTACAACACACGCACTTGCCGTAATCTGACACACGCACCGACGCACGCATCCAGCTTTGCAACGACCACACGAACCGCCTAGAACATCGCAGTGAATGGTTGGTAAAGTGTTGTGCAATGCGTGGGCATCGGTCACCTTGTCTCCATGGGTCGTCGCGAGTTAGAACTTTGTTCTGGAACATTTTTCTGTTGATTATTGATATATATACATTGCCCTACTGTAGCCAAAACATCAGCTTACGCAGTACGTAGACGTATTTGGGCGCGCAGTACGACGTGCAAAAAAAACGTTTTCGTTAGTTCATAAGTGTAGATTCATAGAACACATAACACGTAAGCTGAATAGTTTATATAAAAAAATTACGCACGCTTACGGCGTCGTTCTTTTTTTTTGATCTAATACAGAACGACAGACCCCCCCCCCCCCCCCCCCCGTCCTGCTCTTTGTATAAGTCTGTGGAAAGGAAAGAAGGAAGTGTTTTGCACAAATTTGGCAAGCTGGTTCCTGTAAAGTAGAGAGTTTTAATTCACAGCCGCTATCCTTTAATAATTTTTTGCTTAGTGGGGCGGCTAAGGCCATCTGGCTGTCTTTAGAGAAATCAGTGGCCGTACACGTTACAAACCGGAGGATGTGTCAAAAATCGCACTGATCTCCATCCAGCAAATGAGGAGGATCAATTGACAGGTGGTGTCAAGACTAGTCATCGAAACTGAAAGGCAATATCTATGATAAAATCTTAGAAGCTACGATTGTTAGAGTTATTGCAACCAAAAATTTAGAGTGAGTGACTGTCTGTAGTACTGAGGACTATTGCCTGTGCTGTCAGCCACTGTGCATTTTGGAATGTGAGCTCTTTAAATTTCTTCCTTACAATGTTTATAAGTCTACCTCAGTTATATCTTGTATTTTCCATTCCCCAGATTCAATGTAGAAGAGAAAACAGGATTACTGTGATCAGCTAATAACTAGTTAATTGACTTATATCACAAACTGTGCATGCAATTTTCTGGTGTATGCGTCTTCAGGACGTCCTTCAATCAGTGGGAGAGTAAAAGATAACTAAAACCAAGCGTAATTGAATGGCTTAGTTGGCCAATGTAGCTCGTGCATATATTTCTTCCCGTATTTCACATCTTTGTGGCTTTTAATGCACTACACACATGAATTCGTCTTTGGTTTTCATATTCATGTGGTATATAAACATGTTTCTTCAAGACTTTTGAAACTGCAATGAACCTTTTCACTTTTAGTTTGACTGCAGATCAAGATATTAAGCTTATCTGTATTAGTAATGGCTGAAATGGTCACGCCCACCAGAGAGGCCATTTCATTGATGAGCCACTGGAGGCACGAAAGTGCAAGATGGGTGCTACATCAGTATGCAGTGGTGTAGCCAAGGAATGGGGCACTGGGCAAATGGGACACCCCTGAAATTATCAGCAATTCGATACCAAGCACCAAATACCGCATACTCGACTTGCCTACAGTGAAGACCAAGGACGTCACCTCCATATCCCTCCACCACACAAAGTTCCACCTATATCCTGGGTTACAATTAAGTGCCCATGGTCCATGTTCAAGCATTTTGTCAAGGTTTATGTGACCTTATGTTTGCAAACGGGAACTTTTTCTGAGGGAAAGAAACATAGCTGGGGCACGACATCGCATCTGTGATGCTGAACTTATGATGACTGCTGTTACAGGTTGCGCTAACGTGGATGGTCTCGCCCACGAATCTACGCTCGGATGGACGAACGGGTGTTGACATGCTACAGCCACCTGCCATTCTGCACCGACGATTGCGCATTTCAATTCACCCGCCACTGGTATTAGACAAACCCGACTGGCCCATCTGGTAACCTGGGATCACATCAAGTGCGTTCGAGGTGGCCGGCGAGGGACATAAAGGACAGCCAGCAGACTCCCCCTTCGGGCACGACATCGCACCTACGATGCCGAACTTACGATGGCTGTTGTTACAGGTTAGTTACCTGAAAGGTGCAAATTGTATTAGGAGTAGTAATTATTGTTTTTGGCGGTGTCGTGCCCACCCCAGTATGCTGACAAGTTGAAATCTTTGATGCCTTTGTTTACTTGCAAATGTCGCAACTTATCGGCCATTTTGTTGCCGCTCCACCGTGCCCATTGAGTGGGCACGGTGGAGCGGCAACGATGCGGTCGCTCAGAAATCCGATTTTGCTTTTTGTGCAGTTAGTCGCCTGGTTTGGAACATTACCACCGCGTGCGAATCCAGCGCGTGCCAACTACTCTTCACCGGTGTTGCTGGCGGCCCCGATCTGGATGAACACGCCCCTGCGTCATCTGCCACTATCTGACGGTGGCATCCTTTCCATCGTCACCTGGTCCACAACACTGCGGGCGACTGCAGCGACGCAAGAGCATATAAAGACCACGGAATTCTCCTGTTCCTTCAGTGGGCACGGTGGAGCGGCAACGATGCGGTCGCTCAGAAATCCGATTTTGCTTTTTGTGCAGGTCAGTAAACCTCCTTCTCTCTACTGTAAGCGAACCAGTAACGTCTGTCTGCTGCTCCTACCGTGCCCAAGTGTCATATTTGAATGTGTGTGCGAATGCGTGCATGTCACAAAGCTTCTACTATGTTGTGGAGACGTTGAACTAAACCCTGGCCCTGCAAATACTAACAAAGAAATACTAGACGCGATCGCTAAGCTATCTGAAAAAGGTGATCACCGTCACGATGAGCTAATGGAAGCTCTTGCCGACCTAAAGACTAAACAGGAGGCATTAGCGCAAACTGTTGCTGATTTAACGGAAAGGTTGTCGGCGGTGGAAGCTTTCGTCGAGTCATGCGACGGTTCTGCAGTAGTCAGTGATGTGCCACGTCTAATCGCTGAAACTGTCAAGGTGCAAGGCCAGACACTCAGTGCCCGACTGGACGATCTTGAAGACAGGTCCAGACGAGAGAACGTATTGTTTTTTGGTATATCGGACAGCCCTAATGAGACGTGGGCTCAGTCTGAAGGCCATGTTCGTGATCTACTCTCCCGACACCTTGACATGCACATTTCTGACTCCGAAGTTTCCCGAGCACATAGGTTAGGAAGTTACGCCGCTAAAAAAGCTCGGCCAATTATCGTCAAATTTTCGTCATTTAAGGTTAGAGATGCTATCCTGATGCAGAGACAAAAATTCAAAGGAACTGGTGTATCAGCTAGCGAAGATTTTTGCAAAAGCACGCGAAACTCAAGGAAGAAATTAATGGAATTTGCTAAGGCAGCCGGGCAACCGTATTTGCTACGCGTTAACAAACTGGTCATGAACAAGAAAACTTACGTTTACTGCGCAGAAAGCGACAGCGTTCGCGAAATCAATTCACCCCAAGCTAAGGAAAAAGAACCCTCTCTACCTGCACGTGCTGACACTTCTAGCACCTCATAGCTACGCCCGTCTCGTTGCTGCGCAGGAAACGCTTCTTTTTCTTTTCTAATGTGCGCAGCGTCCTGAATAAACGCGTCGAACTGTCTTCTGCTATTGATTCCTGTTCCGCTGATATTGTTGGTCTGACAGAGACTTGGCTTTCTACAAAAGTAAGAAATGAAGAAATATTGGATTGTGAGAAGCACTACAAATTTTACCGATGCGACCGCGATTACCGGTCTGGTGGGGGTGTTCTGCTGGCGGTTGCCGATAATCTTGCCTCTCATATTATTCCTGTTATGTCTTCACTTGAACTTGTTTGTGTCCGCGTGCTCATTGATTCTCGCGAAATAATATTTTGTATTTGCTATCGATCACCAACTGCATCATCATCCTTTTGCAATGACTTGCATGATGTTGTCAATCAGCTGTTCGTCAGATACCCGAGATCACCTTTGTTCATTCTTGGCGATTTCAACTTTCCCGACATCATGTGGGAAAGAGACCCGGTTACCTTAAAGCACAACTCAGGTGAAAGTAGGGAATTTTTGAATTTTTGTCACGACTTCAACTTTACCCAGCTTGTTGACTTTCCTACTCGCGTTACTCCCACTTCCGCTAGCGTATTAGATCTAGTACTTACCAGTACACCTGACCTAGCTTCACCCTTCACTCATCTACCGGGAATTAGCGACCATTGCATAATCCACTTCACAATAAAAGCACGGGTTTCCATCAAGAAAAGAACAAAAATTATCCAAGACTATAGCAAAGCGGATTTTCATGGAATGAATACAGAGTTACAATCTTTTGTTGACCTATTCTTTGCTGGTTTTGAGCAGCGATCTGTTGAACAGAACTGGCTAGACTATAAGAACAAACTGCTAGCCCTAATTGACCGATTTGTACCTAAGAGAAAAGTTTCATCGAATCCTCGTTCTCCGTGGTTCAATAACACGTTGAAACGCATGCGCAATAAAAAGAAGCGGCTATTCAGACGCGCCAAATCAACAGCCAGAACAGACCATTGGTCTTTTTATCAGACATTTAACAGAGAATTCTGTACCGCGCTTTCGAAAACCAAAAAAGTATTTTTCGATGAAACTCTTCCTTCGCTGCTGCGCTCTAATCCACGTAAGTTTTGGAGCATCATTAGCGGAACTACAACGCGACATATCCAATTAATACAGTCTGATGTCCCAGTCGCTCTTAGCGAGTGCTGCAACGTTCTGAGTAATGTATTTGCTGCACACTTTCAGAACAGCATCCCAACTATATTTCCACAGTTAACAAGCACCGATTTCTTGCCAATGGACCCTATTATCATTGATGCAGTTGGTGTCGAAAAACTTGTTGGGAACTTGACAGTGTCATCATCAGCTGGTCCAGATTGCATTTCGTCAAAAATGTTGAAGTGTACTCAAGTCTATTCTTCTTTAATATTGTCAAAACTTTTTGAACAGTCATTACAGACGTCCACACTGCCATCTGACTGGAAGACTGGGAAGGTGGTCCCTGTGCATAAATCTGGTGATGTACATTCCCCCAATAACTACCGTCCCATATCGTTAACATCCATTCCAGTGAAAATCTTAGAGCATGTCATATACTCGCACCTCATTGAATTCCTTGAATCTAATTCCTTCTTTAGCATTTATCAGCATGGCTTCCGTAAGACAGTTTCATGCGAAACACAGTTGCTGTGTTTTACTAACGACTTGTTTATTAACGCAGATCTTGAATTTGATACTGACTGCATATACTTAGATTTCGCTAAAGCATTTGACTCCGTTTCACACGCACTAATCATTTTCAAACTTACTCAGCTTAACATCGACCCCAATGTACTTACATGGATTAAAGAATTCCTCTCTAACCGCAGCCAGTACGTGACAGCTAATAATTTTTGTTCACCTAATTCCGCAGTATCATCTGGTGTACCGCAAGGGTCCGTTTTAGGGCCACTCCTTTTCTTAATTTACATTAATGATCTTCCTTCTTGTGTTTCTTCTTCTACTGTCCGACTCTTTGCAGACGACTGCGTCCTCTACCAGAAAATAACCAGTCATGTCGATCACCTTAACCTTCAACGCGACCTAGATAGCATATTCGCATGGTGTAACACATGGTTCATGACACTTAACATATCTAAATGCAAGAGCATGCAAGTTTCACGTCGCACTACCACCCACTGTCCGCGTACTTATTCCCTCAATAACATTCCATTACCATCTGTTGACAATTACAAATACCTTGGTGTTCACATATCTTCTAATCTTTCTTGGAATAAACACACAGAATATGTGATTAACAACGCTAACCGCATGCTTGGTTATCTGCGCCGTAACTTTTCCTCTGCGCCATCGTCACTCAAGTTAACACTGTATAAAACATTGGTCAGACCAAAATTAGAGTACGCATGCGCCATATGGGACCCAACTCATGCCATTCTCATTCAATCTCTCGAAACCACTCAGAATCGCGCAGCACGTTTCATTTATCGAATTATTCACGTCATTCCAGTGTCACATCCATGAAGAGCACCCTAAACTTGCCTGATCTTTCATTGCGCCGCACATTGTCTCGCCTTAACCTTTTTCACAAAATCTATCATTATAACAGCCATTTGAAGGACGCCCTGTTTCATCCACCTCGCTTCATATCACCAAGGATGGATCATCGCTTTAAGGTGGGCCTACCATCCTGTCGCACCAGACTATATAATGATTCATTCGTGCCAAGGACAAGCGCCGCCTGGAACCACCTTCCCGCCTCCATCGCCTGTATAACGGACCAAAAAGACTTCAAGCTCGCCATACATGATGCCCTGTAGAATTTTTCTTTTTTTCCTGTTTTCTGTTTTTTTTTTTTTTTTTTTTTTTTAACTTTTTAACTGCACTTACGATTGTTCAAACCACTCCTTTCTGTAGCGCCTTCGGGCCTTGAAAGTACCTTTAATAAATAAATAAATAAATAAATTTTGCTGTTGCTTTCGGGCGATATAGAATCTTATCCTGGCCCCATGACAAAAACTGAAGCAGAATCGTTTGCCCAAGCCCTAGTAGCCATCCGCAAACTTGAAGAATGCCAGGCTTCTTTGATGGCCGAGTTAAAGACTGCAAGGAGAAGCAAGTCGAAGCTGACAACAAAATTAAACTTTTAAGCGACAAAGTTGCATCTTTGGAAAGGGCCATAGTGTCAGGACGCCCATCTGAAGCTGGGACAGATTCTGACGCTGTACGTGTTGTGTCTGAGCAGGTAGTGGCTATTAAGGCCCGCTGTAATGATTCCGAGAACAGAATTCGGCGTTCGAATCTGCTCTTCTTTGGTTTGGATGATGACCCTACAGAGGATTGGGCAAAGTCAGAGAAGAAAATAATTGACTTCTGTACAGATAAGCTTGGTCTTAAAATGAATCAACAGCAATTTGAACGCATACATCGGTTGGGAAAATATAGAGACGATAAGCGAAAACCTATAATAGCCAAGCTATCCCTCTTTAAGGATAAAGAACGTATTCTGTCATGCGTGCACAAATTGAAGGGTACATCAACTTCCGTTTGAGAAGATTTCTCGCCGGAAACTCGGCATGCGAGACGAAAACTAATTGAATTTGCGAAATCACAAAACAAAGTGTTTAGGCTTTCTGTGGACAAACTGCGCATCGACTCGACAACCTATATTCATGATAGTGTTGGAAGCGCAGTTGTTCCGCTGAATAGATAGCTTCGGTTGAAAGCATGCGCACAGACTCACATAACAACAAAGCTTTACCCTATCTCACCATCATTGTCTCTATCGTTCACGAACATACGAAGCATATCATCCAAACGTGATCTCATTTCTTCTTTTTTGGGATATAGTAGATCAGACATTATCGCATTTACAGAAAAATGGCTGCATCCTGCAATAAAAGATGAAAAAGTTTTTTTTCTTTTCTAACACGTATAGCATATATAGATGTGACCGGTCTTTCAAAAGAGGGGGCGGTGTCATGATAGGTATTAAAAAGACCGTTACGTCATCTTTGATCAACACACATTCTGATCTTGAGATTATCTGTGTGGCCTGCACAGTTTCGTCCTCTAAATGCACCGGATTCGAACGGTTCGTTCGTAAGTGCTCTGCGCGACAGCATCAACAAAGCCTCTGAGCTCTTCCAGGCTGATTTCACTTATCTTCTGGGTGACTTCAATTATCCACTAATTGATTGCGCGAAATTAGCATCTTCCTGTCATACATCAAAATTTATCAATTTATGTTTAGATGTGAACCTATTTCAAACTGTTTCTAAACCTACACGTGGTACCTCTGTTCTAGACCTTATTCTCACGAACGCTCCTGAAACTATAACATCGAACACCTGGATGGTTTTAGCGATCACCATCTGCTTCAAGTGACGATAAACATAACACCACCTACGGCAGGACCCATAAAAAGCCAATTCGAGACTACAACAAAGGTAATTTTACTGCAATAAATACGAAACTAAGAACATTTTTTCAAAACACAATGTGGCCCTCATTTCACAATGGATCAGTGGAAGAGAACTGGTTGTTGTTTAAAAGTGCTTTGTGCGCGTTGGTAGACAAATATGTCCAAATTGTTTCTATAACAAACGATAGATTAAACCCCTGGTTTACAAAAAAGCTCAAGCGCATGAGGAGCAGAAAAAAACGGCTGTATAATATCGCCAAAAGCCTTCGAACATCATCTTCATGGCAGAATTACGAATGCTATCTGAAAACATATTGCTCAGCTTTAGGCGAAGCAAAGGACAAATATTTCTCTAATGACCTTCCTGAACTACTTAAAAACAATCCAGCTAAGTTTTGGAAGATTATTAGCCCCAACCACGAATATAATGATATCTGCGTACACAGCAGCAGCAATGTTCCTCTTCCAAATAGTGAGTGTTCATCGGCTCTTAATTAAATCTTCAGTTCCGTATTCACAAATGAGGACACTTCAAGCGTACCTTACGTTTCTGATTTCAGCTACCAATACATGGAACCTATAGATATCACATTAGAGGGACAATCATCACTCAAAAATAACCTTAAGATGTCTTCTTCTTTTGGCATAGATGGCATAAACTCAAGAATGTTACGAAAGACAGTAACAGTGTCAAGCAAATTTCTTCTTCACTTATTTAAGCAGTCACTCGCGACTGGCCTCATTCCTACGGACTGGAAAATGGCAAAAATCATACTGGTATTTAAAAGTGGCAATAAATCATTATGCGAAAATTACCGACCAATCTCCCGGACATGCATTTCTTGCAAGTTACTGGAACACATTATCGCCTCACAGATCTACAGACCCCTTGAAACTCACAAGTTCTTTTTTCATAATCAGCATGGTTTTAGAAAAGGCGTATCGTGCGAGACAGAGTTGCTTGAATTTGTTACAGACCCACACACTGACTTGAAGAACAACGAACAAACTGACCGCTTATTTCTGGACTTTTCGAAGGCGTTCGATCGCGTCGCACATTGTCGCCTTATTTCAAAACTTTCAGCTCTTCAATTGGACTGTTTCACTTTATCATGGCTCCAGAACTTTCTTTCTGATCGTTACCAGTTCACTATTGCAAATAACTTCTCGTCCTCCTTAACTGAAGTATCTTCTGGTGTACCACAGGGAAGCGTCCTCGGTCCTTTGCTCTTTCTCATCTTTATTAACGATCTTCCACACAACGTGCCCTCCACTATAGGAATATTTGCTGACGACTGCATTGTCTATCGCACAATAGTTAATAAAGACGACCATCTGGTTCTTCAGCATGATCTCGAACAAATTAGTAACTGGTGCAGTAAATGACTATTAACATTGAATACGTCAAAATGTAAACTAAAGTCATTCACTCGGAAACCTATAACTTCCCTACATTCATACAATATCAATAAAGACATTGTAGCAATAGCTATACAATATAGGTATGTAGGCGTTATATTCACTACAAATATTTCTTGGTAAGAACAAATCAGCTACGTTTCAGCCAAAGCCTCCCAATCTTTGGGTTACTTGCGACGAATCTTGAGAAATGCTCCTTCGAATGTTCGCAATTTAGCACACCTTACCCTCGTTCGCCCTCAAGTCGAGTACGCTTCTCCTATTTGTTCCCCTCACCAAAAATATCTTACTGACATGTTGGAACGAATTCAGAACAGGGCAAGCCGCTTCATTTCTAACGATTACAGCTATCAATCTAGCGTCACACAAATCAAACTTAACCTTTCATTGAAATCATTGAGTACTCGACGTGACATTGCCTTGCTGACACTGTTTCACAAATTCATTAATTCATTTCGAACAAAACTAGCATGCTTGAAAAGACCCTACTTCGTGTCACGCAGGCTTCATAATCACCTTAGCTATACCCGCATTTACGGATCAACACGTGCATTCAATTGCTCTGCGCTTCCACGTGCAGGCCGATGTTGGAATTCTCTGTCGGATAGCATCGCATGTCTGACAAACATTATTGCTTTTCGTGACGCATTGACCAGTTATCTGGCCAACGAGGTGTAAAAATGTTTGCCATTACCGCAGCGAGCTCTCCTCGTTGTAACATTTTTGCAGTCTCTTATGGTATTGCAACGTAGTGTCGCCTATATATTTCCTTATTATCTGTTTTATCTTTGCTAGTGTTTTTGATTTCTTTTCATTTTGTACTGCTCTTAATATTATGAGATCTGCTACATGACCGCTGTTCATGAACTTTGTGTTTTTGTAACCACTAAGGAAGTGCACTTTTTGTACTGCCCCCCTTACACAACGCCTCAACGGAGGTCTGTAAGGTATTTTTAAATGAAATAAAATAAAATAAAATAACTCATTAGCAGCAGTGCCTACAATTGCGCACGCAACTTGTTTATGCTAGCTGTGTCAACCTGTGGCCAGAATAAAACAAAATGCGTAGCCTGTTAGATTAACTTAACCTTGCTCCTTATAAGGATGTCCTGACTTGACTTCAGTATGCTGCGTACGGTCGTAGCCGATCAATTTACTGAATGGACTGCTACTTTTGATGGGTCGTTAGAGTTGTGTTACAGAACCAACGTCAAATGTTGCTTTTTTTCTCTCGAAGTTATTGCAATAAAAAAACTAATTGCACACATCAGGAGCTTATGATTTCATTCTTTCTATGTTACAACTGAACATAACTTACATCAAAAAGATGTATTTCTTTCATAAAAAATTTATTGGCTTGCTGAAGCTCACACAAAAGAGCACATCAATTTCTTCTTTGGGATGTCACATTGAGTGCCCTGTAAATGTGCTATCTGAATTCGGCACACCTATTGACAGTGCATCGTAATTCACATCTGAAGGGGCTATATTTTTAGCAAGTGTTGATAGTACTCTTCGCATCTGATTTGCAGCTTACTAAAAGAAGAGACCTTGCTTCTCGAGCTAGTATATTATACTGAGCACATCACCATTGCAATAATATACCAGCCACAACCAAGAAAGAGAACACCTGTAGTGATTATTCCACACTTTTGAAGTTTTCTGCTGTCCCGAAAAGGCTGGCTGAGAGAGCACTGCAACCATTACCAGCATGCAGCCATGACAAATTCCTACTTACAAAACAGTCACCAGCTGAGAGGAGAAGTATTGACATGCCAGCCATCCAAAACAATGCCGGAGAAAGGAGAGGTGATTTAATTTACAGTAAATGAAAACCCGCTAAGACTTTAAAGTTTTAATGTTGCTCATCTACTAGCCAAGTAAGATAAGGGTACACTGAGA